TTCGCTGTCGGAATACCTGGATGTGAAGGACTGGGTCAGTTCCATGCGGTCCCTGCTGTTGTGCACCAGCACGAAGGCAATGAGGGACTGGAGGTGTTGCATACCGTGCCGAGTAGTGGATGGAGTCGATGAACTCGTCCAACCGACCCCGTTCGGAGTCGGACAGAGGGCGCGGGACCTTGTTGCGACGGCTCATGTCGATATCCATGGCGGCTGCTGTGTCTGTGTCTGCGTGCGTTTGGGTTGCTGTCTGTGGGATGAACGGGTGGCGTCTAGTCTCGGTACCACAAAGGCGAGACAGCCGGCGGGGTGACTCTCGGTTCGAAGACTACGAGAGTTCAAGTGACGGGTGACAGCGAAGGCGACAGCGGCGACTGCGGTCGGGACTGGCGATGCTCGACTCTCGGACGGTTGGGGGTCTAAGGACGCGAGCGAGGACTCGGGACCAGCAGTTCTAGGTCAGGCGACCTAAGCCAAGCAGATGCGAGGTCGAGGGTGGTAAACAATAAGTGCAGGCGGGGTAGGCAGGAATTGACGCTGAAACAGGCTGTTCCAGCTTCACCGACTGACTCAAAGGGGGGAAATGAGCTGGGAAGCAACGAGAGACGAGAGAGGGAGGTCGGGGGACGGAGAGCTTGAACCGATCTCGAAAAATATGGCAGAGGAGGTGGCTGGCGCGCAAGAACGAGGGGTTATTATTCAAAGAGTGGGAAAAAGATATGGCCTGTAAACAAAAGTCGGATTGGATCACAGTCAATTCAGACCCCAGCACCACGGCCGCCGGTCCACCTGTGACCGTCTACCACTCACACACAGTGCGGCTGCCACCAATTGGCCCTTGGGGTCCGAGGCGTTTTCTTTTTTTCTTCTTCCCTTCGCTCCCCTGCGGCAACTTCCGCTTTGGTTAGGTTGGCCCTGCTCAGGTGTACCGAGGCGCTGTATTTCGGATCGAGAGTACCTGTGGTGGCTTACCTAGGACCCGACTCACCAACTCCCAACACTGACCGACAGACTGTGTGAGAGCGGTGTGTCGACTGCCTTTTTTTTTTTTTTTTTTTTTTTTTTTCCTCCTAGCTTTCCCCTTCCCCTCTGCCTCCGTCCTTCCTCTATCGCGCCCGTGACATCTCAGTCTGAGAGTCCGCAACGGCTGGATCCACCCAACCGGCTGCCAACCGGCACCAGCCTTCTTCCAATGTCCCAACAGCGACGGGCCTCTGCATCTGCACACTCCACTCTCTTTTCACAGCATTTTACAGTCAAGAACCACCACGCCTGCCAAGTTCTGGGTGCCTCGAAAATTACTGTGCACCTGAGGCACTAACGAGCCTGTCCCTCCATCTGCCAGCTGCCAGTGCGCCCTCGACAATCGACCGATTCAACGGAGAGTTGTTCATACCCGTACGGGCAGATCCCCAGCTTGCAGCGCGGCCATCTTCATTGCGAAGTATCCTCCAGCCAGCAATCACAGCGAGGGGAAGAAACCCAACCACCTTCTATTCAACTCCAGCAACAGCTCTTGTTTGTCAGGCCACAGAACTTTTGACCTCGCCAAACCAACGGTTCTTTCCCGAGCCTTCCCACCTAGGGAGCTGCACTAGAAACTACCTTACATTCACCTCTACCTTGAGCTCTCAGCTTTTCCCTTCCAGCACAAACACGCTAGCCACAGACTGCGCCCTGCGCCCTGCAGCCCTGCTCGCAACCAACCTTGCGACGGCCCACAGCCGACACCTTCCCCGACTTTACCTGCCACCACCTTGCCAACTGATCGATCCCCCGATCTCCAACGACGCGTCTTTCGCAAAGCAGTCGCAGCACCACCATCGCATCGACCTTCACAAGTCGCCATCTTCCATCAGCCATTGCACCCACTGCATAGACGGCAGCTATCTGCAACTCGTATGATAGAGAGCGCATGTCTCCGCGACCACTGTCCACCAATTTTTGATGGATCACAAGCGCAAGTCGTCCGCCGCAAATGGCGCGACCGAAGGTGCTGATGAGCGCGCCGCAAAGCGCCTCAGATTGTCACAGGTGAGCTTTTGTTCTACCCCTTCCCCATGCTGTCCTTGGTCGCTCGCCTCTTGTTCGCCCAGCTTCGATTGGCCCGGATCTGCTCTTGCAACCTGTTCCCTCCCGCGTTGCATTCTCACAATGACTTGCCTGCAACCTCCGGGGCCAGCCGACAGCCAGGCCAACCCGCCTGCACTTGCCATCACCAACCATTTATCCCACAGTACCCCAGTCTGCCTGAGCTCCTAGCATCCACCAGCAGTCTCCATACCCCTCCATAAGGCATCCTATGAGAAGCAGAGACGAAATAGACAGGCTAATATCACCACTACGCAGAAATACAATCTCAGCAAGCAAGAGACTGTCGAGTCTACCACCGAACATGGCCTATTCTTCCTGGAACAGATCCGCCAGACCAAAGATAAGAAGTGAGTCTGTCCTTGACTCACTACGATGCATCCATGATCATCAAAGCCTGTTTGGAGGTGCACAGCCATCTAAACAGTAGACGCTGACAATCAATTCTTCCAGTGGCCGGCTCGTGGCAGGATACTTCGAAAAGCTCCCCTCAAAAGAGAGCACCCCCGAATACTACAAGAAGACGCGCATGCCGATCTCGCTGTCCATGATTGAACGGAAGCTCAAAAAGGGAGACTTTTCTACCCTGACCGAGCTCGAGAGCTACTTCAAGCGCATGGTGACCAACGCGAAAGAGTTCTATCCTCGCAACACCCAAATCTTCGACGATGCCGAGAGGGTCCGAAAGGCTCTCAGCAACTACATGACCAAGACGAACCCTGCATACAACGGTGGCAACTACAGTGCCGTGCCGACGCCTCTGCCTGCCTCTGGTGTTGTAGACGAAGTTGAGGAGGAAGACGAAGACGACGCGACCCCTGCCAAGACGGGCCGCCGCAAGTCCCAGGGAAATGCGAAGCCTGCGGAAAAGCAGCCCGAGGTTGACGAAGGCGATGAGGACGAAGACGAAGATGCCGAGGAAGATGAAGATGAAGAGGATGAAGAGGAAGACGACGACGCCGAGGGAGAAGAAGACGATGATGAGGAGGCGAGCCAGTCCTCAAAGCGCGCCGCAATAATCATCCGTCGCAGAGGCCCTGGCAGACCTCCCAAAGGAGTGACGCCGCGCAAGTCCAAGGGTCGTACTAGCACACCCAGTCGTCCTGACTGCGAGTACGAGGACGTTCCGTACAAGGGTCTCACTTTCCAGGCCGCGCAGGAGAAGATTGTGGAAGAGATGCTGCGCAAGCGAGAAGACGAGTATGTCACCCTCTTTCAGGAACCCACAACTGCATCCGTACTGATTACTTATGCACCAGGCCCGAGGCGTACTTCGAGCCTTTTGTGAATCTACCTCCCCGTGCCCTCAAGGACTATTATCGGGTCATCAAGGAGCCCATCTCAATCAAAAAGCTCCAGAAATCTGTCAAGGGAGTCAAGGGACGAAATGAAGCCACGGGTACCAGCGAGTTCAAGAACTGGGCTGCGTTCGAAGAGAGCGCTGGCCTCCTTTGGAAGAACGCTTGCTTCTACAATGAAGAGGGAAGTGAGATTTACGAGTTAGCCCAGGAATTGAAGGTGAGATTTTCGGCGGGAAACGGCGATCCTTCATGGTAGAACTAACTCGGGTCAAGGAATTCTTCCTGGATGAGCTGAAGCAGGCCAAAGCAGTTGTCCCAGAGCCATCACAGCCAAAGATCAAGTTGAAGGTACAGCAACCTGCGGCAGAGCAGCCTACTACGTCCAAGAAGATTACAATCCATGTGGGAGGCAAAAGCGATTCGGCGGACTCACCGGCACCTCCTGTTCCTCAGTCTGCAGGCTCTCAAGCAAGCGAGCAGATCGCTCCGAATGGCACCACGCGTCAAGCTGCTAACCCTATCATGCCAGCTGCGATGGACAGAATTCGAAGCACTTCGGCGGCCTCTCCCAGTCCTTCAGTTGCTAACACTATCAAGCGAGAAGATGTTATGCGCCCTTCTCCTGCCGGTACGCCCGGTCACGCGAGTAAACCGTCGGCTTTTCCACCTCCTGGCCAACCCGCAGGACTGTCCAGTGCAACTTTCCAGCCTATTGGTGCTCCGCAGCAACAGGCGCAGCCGAACGGGGTTCAGCAACCTAGCAAGCCTCTCTGGGACCAGAGACTTCGCGCGCCTGGCAAAGGTAGATTACCGTGTTCTCAGTTCAGGTGACGCCATACTAACAGTTTTAAAGGGATTGCGGATGCCCTCATCTCTAGCCTCAAGGTCCAGACTCATCCGATGATCAATCATGATCGTCGGTTTGAAGTTACCGTCAAACCTCTCGAGAAGGTGTCCCAACAGTCGGTTACGGTTCATATGCCTGCCAATCAGCTGAGGATTCAGATCGTTCCGACCTTGCCTGCCTTTTTAGAGAAGGAGGGACGCCAGTACAGACTCTGGGTGATCATCAACCGGCATACACTCACTCCGGTTCATGGAGTTCCAGGTCAAATGCTTTCAACCGGCGAAAGGGTATTCGAGGCCCAGCTCCAGGCTGGTATTGTCAACACCATCGAGGTCCACGTTGTTGCAGCATTGCCCAAGGGCCAGAAATTGCCGAGTGGTGAAGACTTTGAAGTGGAGCAAATGACGGTGCTCGCCAACGTCGTGAGAAACTAGGAGCCTCCGATCAGCATTAGTGACGCATCCACTTCTGTCGAACTATTGGGGGGGCACTTGGTCGGTTCAGAACATCAGCGCACAGAATCGTCGGGTGATGCCGTTGGCTATCGTGAACGTAGCGCTGCTGGACGGGCTGTAGGTTTCCTTGCCCCAACCTTGCAGGCACTTTGGGACAAAGCTGAAGAAAAAAGGGTCCATGGCGATCTCCCGAACCATCTTCTCGATCGGCGCCCCGAGGCATACAACATTAGCGACAACGGTTATACACGCCACCCCCCGATGCACTATTCGAGTCGCGTGCTGTTGCGACCAGATCAAACGCGGATGACTCCGCAAATTGTTCAACCCACAGCAGCGGCTCCGGAGATCAAGCCTCGCAAGCGTTTGCCGGATGACAGGCTGGCTTGGTCCTTGCCACGTGAACAGAAGCTGGATGTGTCGCCCACAGCTTGGTCGAACCTGCCAGACCCGTGGCGCCCGACTCAACCGAAGCCCCAGAGCCAGCCTGAGGTGAGGGAAGAGCCCGGGAGAGGACTTCATAATGGGCTATCTTTAAGTCTTGAAGACGCACACTTCGCAACGAGCTACATTCTTTCCATTGGGCCCGATTTACTGATGAAACTGGGCAAGCACGCTCGTCCTAGTTTGCTGATGCGGGCCTGCGTTTTTGATGAGAAAGTGATAAAAGGACTCGTCAAGGGACTCGTCAACTATAACAACAACCTAGCATTGTTCACCGATCAGGCTTCTATCAGCGCAGTAACGATCAAATGGATATCCATGCTCAGGGAGGCGGACGCTATGGGCGACAGAAAGAAGGGTCTGATACACCTCATGGGCAGCGTAGCACTCCTACTCGATGACCAGGACATGTTCAACAAGGTTCTGCGACACGTTTCCCCGATTTGAGCTGCGTGGTGCTTCAAGTTCGCAGGGCATTCGCCCATCCACGGAAAAGAAGGAATTGGTTTTGGATGGTTGGTCTGGTCAACATTCACAGAGAAGTCGTCGTTTGTTCTTATATTGCTGTCGTTGTGGGACTATTTCGGTATTTGCGGCCCGTTTATACGCCTTCAGATCTGGGCATGGAAAGGCGTTGCTGCTACTAGGGTATTGCCGTGGTGGGTTGGGACGGACAAATATGTATAGATAGATAATAAGTGTTCCATCACCAGAGTGGTTTTTGCATGCGTTGCTTTCTGTTCTCTTCCATCTCCAGGGCAAGTGCTTTCACGCCGGAATCAAGATGAATTTGATGTCACCCGGAGTTCACTGAGGCAAGTGTCCGTGAGCAACTCTGCTTATTGAACGTGATGCGAAGCTATGCCTCCATAGGAGCCAGGATGTCGTAAAGCTGCGCAAGCTTTGCGCAGAGAACTTCGTATTGGAGTCATACTTGCATGACGTCGTCTGGGGATCCGTAATTCAGCTGTGGATCCTAGTGGGAAAATTGGAGCAGCGTTTACCCCAGCAACCGGCATGCAAGCAGTGTCTTGGAGGACGTCGGTAATGCGGCCGGGGTGCCGTCGGACCCTCCGACGTAGCAGCTTTCGTTGTGCGACGGGGGCTTCGGGGGTCGGTGGGCTCTTCCCGCCCAGAAGGACAGCAGACCTGGCGTCACTTTGTCTTGTCTCAGATGCAGCCTCTTGCGTATCCGTAGTTGGTGAGCACGAGGACAAACGCTCGTTGTTCTCGACATCTACGAAAGACACTGGGCTGGGCGTTGAAATAGGCGCGGCAGGTTGCATCACTAGCAGCAGCCGGGCCGGCGGCAGTTGATCTGATGTCTAATCTGTGCAAGCTGGTTGGCACACAGGCATACGGTTCAATAGGAAGGTGACAAGAGAGTCTACGCTGAACTTTGTGCATTCGATTTTTCGTAGCCGACTCCAATTGACTCCGATACCGTCTGAAGTTGATCAAAGGTAAGACACCTGAAGAAGCCAACTGGTTGGAACCACAAGGCCGGGTCAGCTCGTTGAAAGAAAGCTCAGCCAGCATCTGCTGGTGTTCCCTCCACAGCGGGTAGGATGAGTCAATTGACCAATGTCGGAATCGAGCTTCCGTGCGGCATGCAACGCCCCCGTTGCCGCGTTCTCTCCGCTGCTGCACAATGTGAAAGGCGCGCCTCTAGCAGACCCTCCTGCTGCAAGAACCCTGTTACCAGTGGCAGGCGAGGTCTTCTGGGCGGTCAAATCATCCAATATTGGGGGTCGCCAGCCGTCGGGAGACTGACGATTGAAGGAAAGGCGGTGTCTTTCTCCAGCACCACAGAAAGGCTGCAGGACCAAGCCGACTGCACTGAGTGACCACCAAACACCTCACTGCAGCAAGGTGGCACAGTGGACACGGGCCAGAATCCGGGCAAGCTGCAGCATGTGGCATTACCATTTCGAGGGCTAGCGCGGAAGCAATGTGGGAGATCGATCTTCCGATAACGGGGGGTTGATTGGCCGGCACAAGGAGTGGATGCCACCACAGCCAATGGGAGGCTCCTAAAGCAGCCCACTTCAGGTGGCATCTAGCGGGGTACAGGCAGGACCGACGTAAGGACCGGCCCTGAAATTTGTTAACTCGAGAGTCAATGAATGGCACGGCGCTGCAGCGTGGTCGGGGGTGTAGGTATTTGTCTGGAGCGGGGCCAAAGAGTGGAAAAAATTCTTTTTTTTCGTCAATTGACTGGTCGACCAAGGTTGGCAGCGAACGCCGTACTCGGTCATCACTGGCCATCCCGCCCAATCCACTCCTTGTAGCGTCCGCCTCGCCTCAGTCGGCCTGCTTCTGGCTTCCCAGCATAATTTTTTTCCTTTACATACAAAGGCTGCCTCTGCCACTCTCTCCCCGGTTACGTCTCTTCTCCTGTGACTCAACCAGCTTTACCCCCAAATCTTGTATAAATATCGTCACCATCCAGACTCTGGAAATCCCGCCTTCCATCGATTCGATCCATCAACCCCGAACCTCGACCGCCGCTGTATGAACATACAAAATGTGCCCTACTCCTGATGTCCCGGCCACCAACGGCCAGTCCAATGGCACCAATGGCCACACGAACGGCCCCAATGGCGCTGCCAACGGCAACAACGCTGGTGCGTACTACGTGATGCTTGCGCGACAACGTTTCGACCGTGACTGACTCTTCTCGCGTCCAGACCACCCTGGCTACACTGCCATTCCTGTAGGGACACCCAAACTGGCTTCCCACCGTGATGCCCTGTTCTGACTCCGATCGCGCAGACCAAGCAGAAGCACAGCAACCCTTACCAGCCGGTAGGAGACTTCCTCAGCAACGTCGACCGTTACAAGATTAGTATGTTCTGCCGTTTTCTAGGCCCTGCTCTTCAAAGCAGCCACTGACTGGAGGCGCAACAGTCGAGTCCACTCTGAGAGAGGGCGAGCAGTTCGCCAACGCCTTCTTCGACACCGAGACCAAGATCAAGATTGCCAAGGCTCTCGATGACTTCGGTGTTGACTACATCGAGCTGACCTCCCCGGCGGCTTCTGAGCAGTCCCGCAAGGATTGCGAGGCTATCTGCAAGCTCGGCCTCAAGGCCAAGATTCTGACTCACGTCCGCTGTCACGTAAGAAGTCTCGCCATCTCGCGAGCAAGACTACGTCGCTAACCAGTGAACAGATGGACGATGCCCGTCTTGCCGTCGAGACCGGTGTTGACGGTGTTGATGTCGTCATTGGCACCTCTTCCTACCTGCGCGAGCACTCTCACGGCAAGGACATGACCTACATCATTAACGTGGGTCTGACTTCAATTCCGAGTCGCGCAATGATTTACTGACAGCTTTGATGAACAGACTGCCATTGAGGTTATCCAGTTCGTCAAGTCCAAGGGTCTCGAGATCCGTTTCTCCTCGGAGGACTCCTTCCGTTCCGACCTCGTCGATCTGCTTTCCGTCTACAGCGCCGTCGACAAGGTCGGCGTCCACAGAGTCGGTATCGCCGACACCGTCGGTTGCGCCAGCCCCAGACAGGTCTACGACCTCGTCCGCACGCTCAGAGGTGTTGTTAGCTGCGACATTGAGACTCACGTAAGTCGCGTCTGAGTGCGAAGATCTCACAAAGGCTCGACCATGCTGATGCGCGAGATTTAGTTCCACAACGACACCGGATGCGCCATTGCCAACGCCTACTGCGCTCTTGAGGCTGGTGCCACCCACAGTGAGTTGCTTTCCGTAGCCAGTGCCTGGGAAACTACTTGCTAATTGCCTGTCGCAGTTGACACCTCCGTCATCGGTATCGGTGAGCGCAACGGTATCACCCCCCTGGGTGGTCTGATGGCTCGTATGATCGTCGCCGCCCCCGAGTACACCAAGTCCAAGTACAAGCTCCACAAGCTCAAGGAGCTTGAGGACCTGGTCGCCGAGTCTGTCGAGATCAACATTCCCTTCAACAACTACATCACTGGCTTCTGCGCCTTCACCCACAAGGCTGGTATCCACGCCAAGGCCATTCTCAACAACCCCAGCACATACGGTATGTGGCCCAGCTACAGCGGTTGGCCAGTGACGAAAGCTAACTCGGAGCAGAAATTATCAACCCTGCCGATTTCGGTATGAGCAGATACGTCCACTTCGCCTCGAGATTGACTGGATGGAACGCCATCAAGAGCCGTGTCGAGCAACTTGGCCTCACCATGACCGACGCGCAGGTCAAGGTCGTTACTCAGAAGATTAAGGCCCTGGCAGACGTCAGGCCAATCGCCATTGACGACGCCGACTCAATTATTCGTACTTTCCACTTGAACCTCAACTCTGACGAGGAGAAGCCTCTTCTGCCGAACCTGACTGCCGAGGAGCAGGCCAAGTTCGAGCAGGCGGAGAGAGAGCTTGCTGGCGAGCCGGAGAAGCGTGCACTGGATGAGGCTGCAGCGGAGCCCGCTGCCAAGAAGGTTAAGGCGTAAAAATTGTTTTCGGGATGCATACGGGACTTCAAAAAAGGGGGCATCTGCTTGTACAATCATAGAGGGGAGAGCTACAAAAGTGTTTAGTTCAGATACCTCATCATATCAACGACGAAATGGAACGTTCATACTACGTAATTTTGACTCAGACTCCGATGTCGCTGGTGCTACAATTTTCCCCACGAACTAGTAGAGCTCTTGCCTCGAGAGCTTCATCGAGGGCAGACACTCAGGCCACGTAGCTTGCAATGACATTTGCTATCCTTCCTGTAGGCTCACCGCCCTCGGTCACAATTAAATCAATGGTCATCACGTCGCGTGCCCGTTGTCCAGGTAAAGCTCCAAAAAGTTAGCTCAGACTGGGGTCCAGTTGGTGGGGCTTGGCCAAGGAGCTAAGATAAGATAAGCAGCGGCAGAATGCAAAAAAATAATTCACTAACCACTGAATGTCTAACCGCCCGCGCTGAATCCCTTCTCTGAACCGCCAACGTCCAAAACTTCACCTCGAGAATGCGCATCCCTCTCATGCCCTCATGACACAGTAGAAGCCGATCGAAATATCTCTTCTGAAAGTCGACTTCAATTTTAACCGATCGAAACACCGGCCGCGACTATAAACACAAATTCAAGATGGATGCGCACGCCCTGCTTTCGCGGCAAGGGTGGCGCGGCAAAGGGCACTCCCTCCACGCAACGGACGACGCAATCGGCCTCGCGAAACCGCTCCTTCTCAATCGCAAAGACAACACCAAGGGCCTAGGCCAAAAAGCGCATTTTACGAGCGACACGTGGTGGATGAATGCGTTCGACGAGCAGCTCCAGGGCCTGGACACTTCGAAGAAGGGGCAGGTCACGCAGACCGTCACGCAGGGACGGCTGAACCAGATCGAGAAGGTTTCTGGCGGGAAATGGATGCTGTACGCGAGCTTCGTCAGGGGCGGGTTCTTGGATGGGACGATCAAGGGTCCGGAGGAAGAGAGCGGCACGTCGACGCCGGAGAGCGAGGAGACGAGTGGCGATAGCGAGGATGGAGGCGTCAAGCTGTCGAGGGGCAAGGAGAGGGGCGAGACTAAGGAGGAGAAGAGGGCGAGGAAGGCTGCGAGGAGAGCGAGGAAAGAGGCGAGGGAGGCGAGGAGGAAGGAGCGGGCTTTGAAGAAGGCGAAGAAGTCTAAGGCGGTGGAAAAGGCCGATAAGGGGAAGGCAAGGGAGGAGTCTAAGGAGGAGAGGAAGACAAGGAGAGAGGCGAAGAAGGCGAAGAGGGAAGCGAGGAAAGGAAAGACCGAGTCCGAGTGAGGTTGATCTGTCCAGGACATGGATCAGCTATAAAACCAAGGGTCTCGGGCTCACAGGTTGACAACACTGCCGACTGGGAGGAAATCGCGCCGTTCATATGATGAGCGTTAGCGCTTGGTGACTACGCAGCATCGGGCAAGGCCGGTGATTGCCGCATGGAACGCATCACCGCGAAACATACCATTGGCGCAGCATACACAGTGCTGCTTCCGGCAGAGTTTGCGATACTGATATAGGATCGGAGCGCAAGATACACATCCGCGGTGTAACGGTATGCTTTCCAGCATAACCGGCCGCCGTAATTCAACTTTTACGCCATCTAAGCTGCCGACGCTGACTGTCTTCTGTGGTGCAGTTCCTTGTCTCTCATGCAAAGGCTTCGGGCCCATCTGAGCTACACATCTAAGGTTCTTTGGGCGTCTTACCCGGCTTGTTGGACAGCAGCCACGGCCTCCTGTCCCAAAAGTCGTCCTTGATGATGTCCAGATGCTCTATCACGACGCGGGCCTTGTTGCGCTTCTTCTTTTCCTTCTCGGCCTGCGACTTGCTCTGTTGCGTTGGTTCGGCCAGGGCATCTGCGGCCTCGGACGCATTGTGAGTTCCGGGCTCGACAAGTTCGTACTATGAATTTGTTAGTGTTTTCGTAATCAAGGGGGAGTAGATACCCTTACGTCTCGGAAGATCACACTGCCCTTCTTGTACATCTCAGGCTCATTGTTATAGTTGATATTGAATTTTGAGAAGAGAATCTCATTCTTGTCGCCGGAGACGGTGCCCTGGAAAAGTTTTAGTTTTTGTGAGAACGGGAAGACTGCCCTTGTTATATGACTGACCGCAAGCATTTGCTCGGCTGTCTTGTTGTCATAGCCGCCTAGTTGGATCAAGGACCAAAATGTTGTATTGTACAAGTTGTTGATGTGGCCTATAAGGATGAGTCAGATCGAAATTCATGATAGAAAAACTCTAAGCAACAGTTTGCTGCCCGTATGACTCAGATGTGTCAAAACTTACAGTCAACCTGACGCCAGCTCATGTAGTCTCTCAGGTTTGAGACAGTGGGATAGCAAACAGCCCTGCCATCAAAACTTGGCAGAGGTGGTGAAAGCGGGGTATCAGGGAAGTATTGTGACCACAAGTAGATGTAGTTGGCAGTGAACGTTGATACCACTGTGCTCACTAGCTTACTAGAGGTTTGTGAGCTTCTGTACTCTTATGCCCAAGGGTCTGGTGTTCCCTACCTGGCTCTTCTTTCGAACAGCGTGCATGATTTATGGAAGACGAAACTGTACTCGTCGCTCACACCATACGCTATGGTGATGTCTGGAAGTTCTGTTACCACCACGCGCGCGGCCGCGTTCATGAGATCGAGCGCTCTTTTATCGTTCGGCTTCTCGAACTGGTACTTGGCGCATAGTCTGTGAGTCGGTCAGAGGTATTCAGTTGTTCGTCTGGTCCGATGTCCCCTTACTTTGTGAAACCTCTGCCGTCGATACGAACCACAATCCATGTGTTTGGAAGAAGGGTGTCAGCTTGCTCGAAAGCCTTTACATATTCGAACCTGTGACACGAGTTAGTCAGGTCTCGAGCTTCATATCGGGCGACCGTACTTGGAATTCGCCATAATGAGAATATTCGTGCTGAGCCTGCCAAGGTTGATAGGTGAAAACTCAAAAATAGGACATAGGGCCGAGGATAAAATGAGAGGAATCGGGCTCGAAACAGGAGGTCAGGAGTCGTCACCCTCCTTTGACATGCGTCAACCCTCGAATGATAGTCAGAGATGGATTTCAGGTAGAGTTCGCGCCGAGTGTAAGGCGGGCGGGAATGGTGGGGGAGGGGTTGTCGCTCCTTCAGTGGGGTTCGTCGCTGAAAAGCTGCGTCCAAGCACCCAAAGGTAGGTCCCTGATCCCTGTAACCTCTGCTGTCAGCCTTGCAGGCGCGATGGAATAAAGGCAATCGCAACCGCGCACGGCTAAACGATAATTTGCGACTTTGGAGCTCTCAGGCTTCCATTTTCTCAACTATTTACCAGCACCTTGTCGCTTCGAAATTGGCTGCTCTTGCCCGAATATCTTCGCCCGCAGCTTTATTAAGCATCATGAATTTTCTGCTCAGCAACGAAGAGAACGAGGCCATTGCCGCCGTCGAGGCCATCAATGCGATCAACAACACAAATACGATTCGGTCCGGCCACTCAACATGTCTTCGTTTCAACCGAGCAGGCGACCTTCTTGCTTCTGGCAGAGTCGATGGAACAGTGGTAATTTGGGATATTGAGACTATGGGAGTTGCCAGGAAGATGCGCGGCCACAACAGGAGCATTACATCACTAAGCTGGTCAAGATGCGGCCGGTATCTGCTATCGGCCTGTCAAGGGTGGAAGGCCATTCTATGGGATCTCAAGGATGGCAAAAGATACCGCGAGGTTCGCTTTCGAGCCCCTGCCTACATCGCCGAGCTCAATCCCTTCAACCAGTGAGTATAACCCCCCCCACAGATCAGAAGAACTTAGCTGACGCGACAAGTCACCAGTTTGTGGCCTCCATCTTCGAAGAGCAACCAATACTCGTGGACATCTCAGACGTGAACGATGTGAAATACCCACTGCCATCAGCGCCGAAGCACCCCGAGGGAGAAAGGACTGAGAAGCAGTTGAAAGAGGATGCGAAACAGATGACAACAGTTACGATTTATACTTCTACCGGCGAGCACATACTGGCTGGCACAAACAAGGGATGGGTGAACGTCATTGATGTCAAAACGAGAAAGACCATATACTCGGAGAAACCTTGCAGCGGTGTTATCACAACACTGCGTCTCAACAATTCGGGACGTGTGTTGTTGATCAATGCACAAGATCGTATCGTCAGAACCTTTCACATTCCGAATCTGGCGGCGGAGGACCTGGACCTCGACACGGTACACTTTACGAAGGAGCACACTTTCTCGGACCAGGTCAACAGGCTATCTTGGAACCACGTCACGTTCAGCTCAGCTTCCGAATACGTAGCAGCGTCGACCTATAATAATCACGAGATATACGTATGGGACAGAGGCATGGGAAGCACAGGATTGATCCGAATCCTAGATGGACCCAAGGAGGAGCAAGGTGTTGTCGAATGGCATCCAGATCGACCGTTCATCGCTACATGTGGCCTGGAGACGGGGAGGATATACGTCTGGTCCGTCATCCCAGAACAGAAATGGTCGCGACTTGCACCAGACTTTGCGCAGGTCGAAGAGAACCAGGAGTATGAGGAGAAAGAGGACGAGTTTGATATCTACGGTCAGGAGGAATTGACCAAGAGGCGGCTGGACGCCGAGGACGAGGATATTGACGTGGTCAGCTCTGACTTTCTTCACGTGAACAACGGGGGCAAAGAAGCGTTCCGCATGCCGATTCTTTTCGATCTTGGTGAGAGTGACAGCGAAGAGGAGTTTGTCGCGGTATCTACCGGAACCATGAGGAGAAGGAGTCCAGGTGCGGACGGTGAGATACCGGATAGCGAGGTGATTGAGGAGAAGATTCCATCAAGGAAGGGTGCAACCAAGCCGTCGAAGGCCGGCAGGAGGCGATGAAGGACTTGCTGGAACTTCAGTTTGGTGATTCGACAACTCCAGCAGCCCGGTTGAAGCGTCGGTGTAGACGCGTGACAGGGCGTTGGATCGCGTAGCTATGGGACGAGCTTCGGTTGGCGTCCAGACCCCTGCCAAATACTTTAGCGCGACGGCGGTGATGCCAGACTCCAGCTTCGTACAGCTGCTTATTAATAGCAAACAATGCCTAAGTGGTTTTAGCAAGCGCAATTTGAACGTAGTCGTGCCTGAAAGAGTGCATCGAGACGTCGAGAAATGACCTCGAGTCCATGAATAAAAAACCTTGACTCATCGGCCAGTTGCAACTTGAGGCCAGTCAGCCAGCGCGCCTTCCAACGAATCTCCTTAGAAACGTCAAGGTAAGGTAGAGCTACTTCTGTCCTCGTAAGGGATTGGTGCGTTTCAGCACTTTTGCGGGTACCCGGACTACCTCCAGCGGGAGCCTTAGGCACGCGTTCCCAGCCAGAGCAGGAGAGAAAGGAGCGTGACTGCCTAATCCGGCTAGCGCCTTTTGACAGGCTGCGCCAGCCGCCTCCAGGCAAGATTTCTCTGACCTCGCTCCTCGCTTTTGCCTCCAAGGCTTCACATCTACAACTACCGACAAGCCATCGCTTCACCACGCGCATCGTCGGAGAGCGCGTCAAAGCACCAGCACACTCCTTTCCGACTCGACGACCGATATCACGATCGCGATTTTTTCTTCGACTCGCCCGCGCTCGGAAGCCGCGATTGGGAGGAACTGTGGAACCTTCTCCTGGGCCGCTGGCCGGGGATTGGCGTGGTCAAGAGCGCCATCATTGGAACGACTTTTCTCGACCTTTTGCATCTCGACGAGCGTTTCGTACGATAGAATTTTGCATTTCCGACTTCTTGCGCCTGCTTTGCGACCTTTTCAAGTCGCGTAACGACTATCTGCGGCATCCGCGTTTTTCGCCCCCGGACTCTACCAGTCACGCTTCGACACCTTCCTTCCCGACTCCGACAGAAAAACCGGCAACATGGCGAACCTGTACTTTACGCACTCGAGTGCGCCAATCAAGACTGTGGAGGAGATCCAGTTTGGTCTGATGGCGCCCGAGGAGATCAAGAATATGAGTGTCTGCCACGTTCTCTACCCCGAGACCATGGACGAGACGCGCACCAAGCCTCGTGACGGCGGTTTGAACGATCCCATGCTCGGTTCCATCGATCGCCAATTCAAGTGCAAGACCTGCAACCAGGCGATGGGCGAATGTCCAGGTCACTTCGGCCATATCGAGCTGGCCAAGCCTGTGTATCACCCCGGCTTCATCAAGAAGGTGAAGAAGGTGTTGGAAATCGTCTGCCATAATTGCAGCAAGGTGCTGGCGGATAGAGTTAGTCTAACCGGCGTTGCTTGACAGCCACCTTGACTCGATTGTGCT